CTTTGAAATGAATTTTTTGTATTTTTTTTTTATTTAAATTTATATCACATATCATATCACACATATATTATATAACACACACGTTAGTAATAAAATTTCTAGTTAATTTCATAACTATATCATTTAACATCTATAAAAGTTAGGTACTATAAATTATACTTTCTTGAAATAATTATATAGATATTTATAATATAAGAAATTTTATAAGGTAAAATAATTATCCAAATTAATTTATTTAATAAGAAAAATCAGGAAAATCGAAATATTCTTTTATTCGATGTTTTGTTATTATCGAATAAATATAATCAGAAATGTGAAAAACTATTATATAAAAAAACACTGAAGGAAATGACAGTGTTAATTAAATGATAATGGAAATCGGAGGGGTCAGTTAATCGAATTCGTATTTTACATTTGCTTAAGTAGTTCTTTTTCAACCTTTTAAATGATTATTTCGTGCTAAAAGTCAGGTAGAAATTTGATCCATTTAGATCCATATTATTTCATCTTATAATTTATTTTGCTTTAATTATATTGTCTTTTTTTTTTTTTGTTATTTTGATTATTTTGTTATTTTGATTATGTTTTTCTTTAATGTTTTTCTTGTTTAATTTCTTGCGATATTTTAACGAGATTATATTTCTAATTCATTCCCTGATTTCGATGATATTTCATACGGTTTAAAGCATTCTCACATTCTTTAAAATCGATTTTTTAAGTTTTTCATGAAAATTGCTCTATTTTTATATTCGGAACTTCAATTTTCATCTTTTAATTTTTTCATTTAAAATTTTTAGCTTTTATTAAATTTCTAGAGTTTACAATAACATTTGAAGTGAAATAAGTGAAAAATTAAAGAAGTTAAATTCAATTGATAGTTACATTTTATTGTACAACATATGGAATTTCTAATTTATTGAAGTAAATAGAATGGTGGAAGAAAAGGAACCAAGGAAACAGTATGTGAAATGGGCAGCTATTTTATGGTATATTTATATACACGTTTTAGGAGTATACGCTATCTGGTTGATGTTTACTTCTGCCAAATGGATGACTATATTTTATAGTAAGATTCATAAATTTTCCTTATAATTACATAAACACTTTTCGAAAATTTTTCAATTAATTATTAATTTTATTATTTAATTATTTACTATATTCGGTATGTATAAATTAATTTTTTTTTATACCATATAGCTTTTTTGTTTGACAATAGCTATGAATATAATAGGATCTAGAATAATTTTTGAAGCGTTACCTTGAAGTTCATGATTTTTTCAGATAGTTAAACTTAAAGAAAACTAAAAGTTAAACATTAGGAATTAATATATCATAGCTTATCTTACTAGTTTTGACTGATTCTCATTTAAACATCAAAGTTATAAATAGACATCAAAGAAATAACATAATTAGATAGAATAGAATAAAGAAATACTGAGCTTGTTATAAGTTAATATATGTGTTAAAAATTAATGATATAAATATTACAGAATCTAAAACTTATAATAATAATTAAAGATATTATAGAATTATAGAAATCAATAAATGAATAAATTGATCATGAATATAATTACGCTTTGATGAATATTTCAATCGTAAAAATGCTCAATTACATTATATTTATATCATTAGATTTTATTTTTTTCATTGTAAATGGAATAATAAAAGATTTTATTATTCTATGAAATTCTTAGTATATTCTTTCTTCAACTTTCGCTTTTTTGTTAACTTATAATAATTAAGAATAAAGATATTTATTATAAAAATATATTGCAAAATCAAATAATAAATAGAACTACGAATTATAACTATTTAATTAATATTTTAATCGTGAAAATGATCAATAATATTATTATCTATTCATATCATACTCTAATATTGCATATGTTGCATATGAATAATAAGAATACTTTAATAAGAATAAGAATACTAATAAGAATACTTTAATATTCTATTGATGTATTCTAAATTTATTCTATTTCTTCTATTTAATTTTACTAATCAATTGATTTTTCAGCAATTTTCGTAATAGCTATTAGTTATCTTGGAGTGACAGCAGGTGCTCATAGATTGTGGGCCCATAAAACATACGAAGCCATAGGATTTATTAAATTATTCCTTATGCTTGCTCATACCCTTGCAGGAGTAGTAAGTATTTTAAGATTGTTGCGTCAATGAAACGTTTAGAAGAAATCATCAAATGAATCGAATGCATTTCATTTTTATCTAAATATTTATGCAATACATAATATTAATTTAGATATTCG